ATATTGTATTCCATTGTCACGTCTCTTTAATCTCCTTTAATCTGGCATGGTCCCTTAGTCTCTTTGTTTTTTGTTTCATGAATGCTTCTGAAGAACACAGGCTGGTGACTTTGTAGACCGTCCCTTAGTTGGTTTCGTCTGATGTTTCCTGACTAGATTCAGGTTCTGCATGTTTGGCAGAAACCCCACCGAGGTGACTTGTGTCCTGCTCAGTGTGGCATATCGGGAGGCATGTGATGTCCATTTAATCCCTTACTGGTGATGTTCACTTTGATCACTTGGTGAAGGTGCTGTCTGCCAGATTTTTGTTACGATTCCCCCTTTATAATTAATAGGTATCTCATGGGCAGAGCAATCTTCTAAAAACTATAAATCTGATTAGGTCACCTCCCCTCTCTAACCTCAGTTGAAATCCCAGCTCCTTACCTTGGTGTCCGCAACCCTGTGTCTTGGCCCCTGTTGAGATCTGTGCTGTCATCTCCCATTGCCTTTCTGGGAATTGCAGGCACACTGGCCTTCCCGCTCGTCCTAGAACACATCAAGCTTGTATCCACCTCAGGGCTTTCGTACTGGCTGTTCCCTCTTCCTGGAATGCCCTTCCATCCAGTAATTACATGGCTGGCTTCTTCATGTCTTTCGGATCTCAGTTTACAGACCCCCCGAAGGAGGAGTCCTTACCTGGCCACCCACCTAAAGGAGCTCCCCAGTCGCTCCACCACAGCACCTGGTTTTGGTTCTTAGAGTATGATTAACCGCCATCTGCCACTTGCTCATTTGTTTGCCGTCTGTCTCTCTCCCCCCGAAGAAGAAAGCAGGGACCCCGCGTACCTTGCTCCGTGCACCTAGCACCGGGCTGGGCCCATGCCTGTGAGACGAATATTGATTGAGAATTTGCTGAATGAACGCCTAACGAAGGATTGCTTAGTAACACGTTGCAAGCCGGGGTCCTAACCTGGAAGTCTTGGAGCTCTGCCAGCTCGTCTGTGTTGATCGCAGTGCAGCTCTGCTGAGCTGGTGTGCAAGTAGGGCAGATGGCAGCCTGGTGGCGTAGGGGTCCCTGCATGGGGCCCTTAAGGGGGAGCTAGAGGAAACAACCAGAAGGCTGGATGAGATGGGGTGGGGAGGTGAAGGGATCTTTCAGCCCCGCAGTACAGATTCAGCTTTCCTTTCCCCCTGTAAAGGAATGGAGTGGGGGTGGGGGGAGGGTGGGGAATCGGTCATAAATACACTTACATTCAAAGCACAAAGGCAGCCTGGAGGGAAGGCTGACAGATGTTGGCAGCTGCGGAGCAGCAGGAATTGCCAGGCCAGCAGGGCTGCTGGAAGAGAGGTGGGTGGGCTCGTTCTGAGCTGAGGAGAGACTGCCAGGCTACTGGCTTCGGGGAAAGATGCAGGGGAAGTCAGGCAGTTGTTTTCAGAGGTCTCCCCAGAGTCCTGGCCAGAGGGATTGCCCAGCCGCCCCTAGCTCCTGCTGCCCAGCAGACAAACATGTGCACAGGGAGGGCATGGCATTCCTCTGGGAGAGTTCACGTCTGACCACAGGACTGTGTGGAGAGAGAATGCTTAAGATCAGGGGTAATTTCAGGGGAAAGATGTAAGGATGGGGCTTTCCCAGCAAACGTCCCTCCAGTCATGCTGCCGGCCAGGGACCCCTGCATGGGACTGTGCCACCGAGGATGTATCAAGAGAAACCCCTTCCCTGTGCCACCAACAGCCAAGCTACAAGGGCCTGGGGTGACATCTTTCTCACAGTCCTTCCCTCTTTGTTTCTCTCAGGAAATGTCTTAGTCTGCCTGGGCCGCTATAACCAAATGCCACAGGCTGGATGGCTTAACCAACAGACATTTATTTTGTCACAGTTCTGGAGGCTGGATGTCCCAGATCAACTAGAATTGGCTTCTCCTGAGGCCTCATTCCTTAGCTTGTAGACAGTCACCTTCTTGCTGTGTTTTCACATGGCCTTTCTTCTGTGCATACGTGGAAAGATTAAGTAAGCTCTCTGGTGTCTCTTCCTCTCAGTACGCTTATCCTATTGGATCAGGGCCCCACCCTCATGACCTCATTTGATCTCACTTACCTCCCTGAAGGCCCAATTTCAGAATATGATCACATGAGGGTTCAGGGCTTCCATATATGAATTTGGGATGGTGGGGGGAGGGACACAATTCCAGCCATAGTGGGGAGGGGCCTTTAACTCTTAGCAGAGAGTTGTAGAGAGTCTCCCACCAGGGAGGTTCTCAGGCACATCTCATCCCTCTCTTAATGCTGAGAGTTTCATTCAATGTGGCTCAGGGATTCATTTCGAGAAACCCTCCCAGAAATGTCGTGTCTACCTGGGTAATGCCGCTGACCTTAGGGAAGTGACACCCAGGCCCTCTCGGGTGGCTCTAGAAGGAGAAGCTTCAGGTGGCAAGATGAGGGCTGAGGAGTGCTGCATGTGGGTCCTGGGGGTGGGACTCCAGACTGGGGTTCATCTTCTCCCTTGTCTCCGTGGGTGTGGGTGTAAGTGCACTTGTGTGCACACACAAGCCTACACACGCTCTCAGATTAGAGCTGCCGGGCAGGGAGGGGCTGCTGGCTCCCTCCATCCTGATCGCTCTCATTTTGGACACTTGACACCACCAGACTGTGGTCCCTTTAGCCCTCTAACCCAGGTGTGGCCCAGGACTCCTGCTTTTTTCTCAGGAGCCCACTGCAATGAAATTGGAACTTTCCAGAAGCCTGTATGGTTGCAGGGGACTCACATATGCTGGCATGCATGCTTGTGGGGCAGAGCAGGTGACTGTTGCAAGGATCTCTTGCTATATAACAAAGCATCCCCAAACTTAGTGGCTTGAAGTAATGACATTAATTTTACTCATGAATACACAATTTGGGCAGGGCTCAGGAGGGACAGCTCATCTCTGCTCTACTTGGTGTCAGCTGGGGTGGCTCGAAGCTGGGGGTGGAGTGTCTGGAGGCTCTCTCACTCATAAGTCTGGTGTTAATGCGGGTCGCAGGCTGAGATACCAGTTAGATTGTAGATTGAACGCCTATGTGTGGCCTCTCCAAGAGGCTCTTGGCTTCCTCACAACATGGCAGCTGGGTTCCCTGGGCCAGTGCCCTGAGAGAGAGCCATGTGGGTGCCATTACACCTTTTACAACCCAGCCTTGGAAATCACCCAGTGTCACTTCCACCGGATTCTGTTAGAAGCCATCACTAAGGCTGGCCCACATCCAAGGGGAAGACATTGGATTCTACCTCTCGAGGGGAGGAAGGTCAAAGGATTTGTAGCCATGCTGGAAAACCACGACTGTGGCTCCCAGCTTTCTTCGCATTCACACAGGACTTGGGATCTTGCCCTTTCCAATGCCTGGTCTCTTTCTTCACAGGGTCACCATCATGCCACCTACCACCCAGCAGTCCCTTCATGGAGGCTAATCCAAGAGAGAGAGCATGCTTTCTCTGGTCAAGGCCACGTCAAGATTCAACAGCACTCCACACGGGGGAATAATTTGGTGCCCCTTCATATTGGGGAAGAAACAGATTCCCCTCTCACTAGTGGTCTACACCGGACAGGGAAGCTCTGTTCTATGGAGTCTTTAGGAACCCACACTTCTTTATCTTGCTGTTCTGCCATGCGTGGCCTCCCATGCCCAGGTCACCTCGAGGTCCGAGATGACTCTTACAGCTGCATTCTGATCCTAAAGGATGAAGAAGAAACAGCAGAGGCTTCCCAGAACTGTCACATGATATTTCTGAATGTATCTCATTGGCCAGAACTCATCTACGTGGTCACTCCTAGCTCTGAGATCTGGGAATTAGAGTCTTTATTCGGGGTGGCCACGTGAAGAGCTGATTCTCTTCACACGGAGAAAGGGGACCAAGGATGCTGTGGGCTTAGAAGCATACTCTGCCAAACTTATTAATTAAAACGTTTTATGCAGACAGATTTACTCTCTAATTTACCTCCCCTGGCTGTAGAAAAAATTAATGGGCTAAAAATATGGCAAACATCTCTTATGCTTTTTGTAGTTCTTTAACTCACATCAGTTTCCTTTGGCAGTTTCTCAAGTCAGACAATTTGGTGGCAGAAGCATATTGAAGGGTTTACAAATTATATGATAAAATGAAGTATTGTTTGCGTTAAGTAGGAAAGTTCTGCCATGCTTTATTTGGTTGCAGAATTTCAGTGATCGCAACTCTATACACATATGACAAGAAATACCCAAAGAGGGGGTCAGCCCCAGTCAGGGGTGTTTTTTTAAATTTCCATAGAAGGCTGCTGTTTACTTTGGTGGGAGCTTGTGGAAATGTGCGTCAGCGGCCCTAGGTATTTCTATTTATTCCAGCGATATTTTGGACCCTCTAACAGACTCGTGTTCTGGACGGCTGCCCAGCTGGCCTGCCCAGCTGGCTCGGTGTCTGAGGGCCCTAGGAGGCACTTAACAATTTAGGGAAGACCTGGGCTCCGTCCGAAAGGTATGGCCTTGGCTTTATTGGCCCCCATAGGTGAACTCTACCTCTGCCCATCCCAGCAGCCCTGACACTCATCTAAGAGACTGGATTAATTTCCTAAGGCTGCTGTAACAAATTACAACAAACCAGGGGAGCTTAAAACACCAGAAATGTATGATCTGACAGATCTGGAGGCTAGAAGTCTGAGATCAAGGTGTCAGCAGGGCCACGCTCCCTCTGAAGGCGCAAGGGAAGGCTCTGTTTCAGGTCTCTCTCAGTTTCTGGTAGTTCGTTGGCTTGTGCAGCAGAACTCCAGTCTGCACGTGGCATTTCCCTGTGTACATGTCTGTGTCCACACTTCCCCTTTTCACTGGGTCCTATTGGATTAGGGCCCGCCCTACTCCAGGATGACCTCACCTTAATTAATTACATTTACAGCAATTCTATTTCTTAATGCAGTCTCATTATGAGTATTAGGGCTTCAGTATATGAATTTTTTGAGGGCGGACACAAGTCAATCCATAGGAAAGATATCCACATACGAGATGATTATGTGTGTAAGTGTGTGTGTGTGTATTGTGTTTGCAAACTCTGAAGTGTCTTGATTTTTTTTGGTGAGGAGGGTGGTTTCCATCAGTAATAGCAGGATGCTGTTGAGAAAGTGGTTCACAGGGAGGCTTTTGGCTCTTTCCCAACAAAGACAAGGAGACTGGAGTCTAGGGTGTGTCTGAAGTTGGACAGCCGCATACACTGTCCGGAGCAGGGCCGTTACCTGCTCTTGGAATGGGCATCATTCTGGAAGTCATTTTTGTTTTAGCTGGTTATAATATAAGGTAGCAGGATGTTGGCAGCTATAGTCAATGCTTTCAGTTCTAATAACAAAAAGGTCACTCAAAGTGGCATAGACAATAGGGCGATTATCACCTCCTGTGACCCGGAAGCCCGGAGGCAGGGCAATCCGTGGGTTGGTTAATTCACTGCTTGTGGTTGGCTTTGAAGACCAGGTCCCTTCTGCCTTTTTGCTCCGCCGTCCTCAACACGCTGTTGTTGGTCCTCTGTCTTGCCTCCTCGTGTTCCCAAGAGGACTTCATGGTTCCAGGTGTCACATTCTAACACAAGTCAAAGGCTTGACAAGAGAATGTTCCTTCTTCGAGCCCTTGTAAAAGAGGCCTCGCAGACTTGCTCTCACACCCGTCGGTCAGGACTGTGTCGCTGGCACAGGAAATGGAGTTGCCACGACTGGCTTTAGCTTATCAAGTTTCACCCTCTGGGGCTGGGAGGGGGCCAGTCGCCCTTGACGCCTATCGAATGCCCTTTCCCTGGACAAAATCAGGGTTCAGTTGGCAGGGAAGAAGGGGGTAGGCCCACCCAGAGGGGCAGGAAGCTTCCTCGGCCCAGGATGAGGATGGGCTGGGACAGCGGAGATGGGAGAGCGAGGGAATGCCACGTAGAGTGGTCAGTCAATACCGTCTTAGAATAACAGTTCTCATCAGGCACTGAGTCTGACTTTCAGCTGACAAATGATTTTCCTTCACAATAAAAGTACAAACAGAATCCTAATTAATGAATTTGCCAATAGCTGTTGCCTATTTTATGGGCCTCAGCCTGGATTCAGTCTGTGGACAGGATGAGCGAGTGTGTGTGTGTAGATGTGGTCATAAATCACCCGGGGCCCAAGACAAGGGCAGCCTGCCTGGGATCTTCCTCAGCAGCCCCTTCCTGAGGGAGCTGAGATCGCACGACAGCCGTGACAGCTACGAAAGCCACAGCTGCCACATCAGCCCCTGGAGCTGGGGCTGCCACGGCACCCCCGGGAGCCCCGTCACAGCACAGCCAGCCCCAGTTTGCTGCCGCCTCTGCCTCTTGTGACTGAAAGGACTGACGTTTCTTTTAAGAGGCCCAGTCTCCTGGGCATTTCACCTTTGACCCTTTCCACCTGACAAAAGGCCATGGTGCCTTTGGTCATCTCCCTGCTTTTGAGGAAATTTCTGGAAGTGGTCATCCTGGTTAGGTTGGGGATGTGTGTCATCCATTCAACGATCTAGTGTCTGACTGTGTACGAGGGCTGGGAGGGACAACGATGCGTGAGGCCAACCTGGTCTTGTTCTGGGGCCTCCACAGTCTCGCCTGGGTGTTGGTCAGAGGGGCCATGGGGGAGAAAGAACTTTCTGGAAGCCCTTTTTTTTTTGTGGAAGCCAGCAGGAGGGCGTTTGGTGAGGCCCACTCTCAGGACATGAAAATGGCAGTTTTGACGAGACTACAGGACGAAAGATATCAGATACCAAAGCAAGCATGAGATAGACATCCTGAGAGATCTGCCAAAGTTCCAGGTAGCACGAGTCACCTGTATTTTGAAAAATCTCCTCAGGTATTTTGATAGAATCACCTTTCCCTCTTCGCCCAGCCCTCCCCCGCTCCACTGCCTCAGTGATCGTCACCAAATTACAAGAGAAGAACCAGTCACCTCTCACATACTTAAAGATGATGGAGCGTCTCCCTCTCTACAGACTTCCCAGCCCTGCTCCCTTTCATCTGCCTGCACAAGCCTGTTTTCCAACTACCGTTAATGATTAATAATTTGTTTCGCATTAACTGAGCTTTCCAGGGTTTCTGGTCCATCTTTTCCCAGCCATTCGCTCCAATTCTTCAAAACCAATTCTTTGCCTTCTAACAGCATCAATACATTAATTTCCTTTATTTTCGTCCTTGGTGTGTTCTCTTGGCAGCACCTGGCCCTTCAATATTTCCCTGGTCTTCCCAGGAGTGAGATGAGCTGTGCAGCTTGGCACCTAGTAGGACAGCCCCGAGATGAGCCACCCAGAGCGAACTCACTAGCGTGACGTCTACTCATCCTCAGGAGTAAGTTTCTCATCTCTGTCTACCTCGGTGCCATTTACATGCTTCATTTCCTTCAGAATCTCAGAATGACAATCACTCAGTCCACCGACTTACAAGAGTCGGGTTTCCACTGTCTTTCCTAACTTTGTCTTTGGTGACACGTTATTACCCAGGAGGTTAAACATGGCGGCCATTACCGTGGTTCTCGCAAGAGTTCTTTCTGTCTGCCTTCATCCCCTCTGACTACAGGGGACTCTTGGGGCTGGAAGTTTCTGAGTGCTGCCGATGCCCTGCAAGGATCAGTCTCCTGTCTTCTGGCTGATCCCTCTGGCGAAATGAGACTCAACTTACAGCTGTTAGTGACTACTCTGGGACTCTCTTTCCTCATCTTTAAAAAGGTTCTTCTGAGGATGAAAGTGATGATACTTGCAAGGATCTAGGGATGTGTCTGGGACTAAAAATATACCATTTCCATGCATGACTACCCACTTACGACTGTCAGAACCCAACTCCTTGCCTGAGGGTTTTCTTCAACCAGCAAAGCTCTCTCTGCCTGTCTGCACAGCACCCAGAAGTGCCAAGGAATAAGTGGTCCCCAGAACAGCCCACAAGTAAGGACTGATGGGAGTCGGTGTGTAAGGACCCCATTCCCTGCCCTGGCTTGGGTGGGAGAACTCTTTAGGGGTGTGCTCGATACTGCCCCCCAGAGGTCCCCAGCAGGATTGAGCTTCAGTTGCCAGTAGTGCTAACTTGCTTGAAAACTCGCCCTTTATTGGTTTCTTCCTTCCCCATCTGATGTTCTTACTCCCCTCTCGGTGTTTCCAGAGATCATCTCCCCATAAACCACCAGCACACAAATCCTTACCTCCTTGCCTTAGAGTCGGCTTCTGGGGAAACCTGAACTAGGGCGTTTTCTCTAGTGGTTCCCCAAATTCCCTCTGGACCACCTGTGCTCCCATCGAAGTCGATATATATAAAATGATATTCTTTTTTCCATCAAATTGGCCTGTTCTCCTGTCTTCCCCGCATCCCTTAGTAGTCACGCCATTTGTCCCAGTCATTCAGGGCAGAAACGTGGACCCATCCCACTCATATCCCGTCGTTTTCGTCAACAAATATTTATTGAGCTCTTTTGATGAGAGAGATACTCTGTGCTGACCCTCTGGCTGCAACTGTCTTTGCTTAGTGATCTTCCTTCTCTCATCCGTCATGCCCGCCTCACCTCACACCAGTCTACCGGCCTCCCTGCTGACATCTTCCAGAAGAGACTTCTATTGACTCTTTATCACTCCTCGTCTTTGCTCAAAGCGCATCCACGGCTCCCCATTGGCTGCTGGATAAAGTTGGGGCTCCACAGCTGGGTAGGGAAGGGCCCTGAACCTCCGTGTCTCAGTATTAACCCCGATCCAGCCCAACTGCTCCACCCTTCGCTGCACCCTTCACTGCATTGGGAGTCTCCCGTGGCTATGTCTTTGCTCGTATTAAATCCATCCTGTACTTTAGGGTTCAGATTAAATCCTGCTTCTTTCATGTCAGCCCATCCCCACTGGGAAGGAGGCCCTCCTCTGATTGCTGCAGTGTGACTGGAAACACTCAGCCATGTTTATTCAATAAAGCATGATGTCCGGGCACTATGCTCGTTCCCAGCAGGGATATATTGATGAACACAATAAGCATGGTCCCTGCCCTCAGGAAACTCACAGGACAGTGGGGGAAGAAACAGAAATCAAATTATAAACTGTGTTAAGGACTATGAAGAATAGATAAGGCGTTATCAGAAAGCCAAACAAGGTGGAAGCTAATGTAAATGGAAGGTGCTGGATGTTCAGATGAGATCCTCTAAACCTGAAGTCTGAGTAGGAATTAGCTAGAATAAGGGTAGAAAATGGTCCAGGTAGAATGAATATCTCATGAGAAGACTACAAACCTTTGAGGCACTAAAAAAGGTCAGTGGGGCTAGAATTTGGCGAACAAAAAGGTCAGTATAAGCAGAATGGGATCAGCAGATACAAACTACTATATATAAGATAGATAAACAATAGGGTCCTATTGCAGAGTGCAGGGAACTATATTCAATAGCTTGTAATAATCTATAATAAAAAAGAATATGAAAAAGAATATATATGTAGAACTGAATCACTCTGCTGTACAGCAGAAATTAATGTTGTAAATCAACTATACTTCAATATAAAAGAAAAAAAAGGGGAGATGGGGTTGGAAGGATTGTCAAGGGCCAGATTACTCAGGGTCTCATAGAGTGTACTAGTCAGGTTTCTGCTGCATTAATGCCACTTAACAAACAGCCCCCCCGAATCTCCGTGGCTTACAACATCAAGCATTTATTTCCTACTCATAGGCCTTTCAATTGCCTGTAGTTCAGTGGGGCTCAGCTGTGGCTCTACAGGTCTGGGCTTTGGGTTGGGCTCAGGAAAGCTCCACGTTTCTCTCAATCTGGAACCAAGATTGAAGGAGAAACAGCTTCCTGGGGCCGGCTTTTCTCACAGCTGAGGGTAAACTCAAGAGGGCAATTGGAAACAAGGCCTTTTAAGGCCAAGGTTGGGAACTGGCACACTGTTGCTTCTGTCCACACTCCAGTGGTCAAAGCCAGTCATAAAGCCAAAGTCAGCAGACAAGGAACCATCCTGGATCTGGTCTGCTCGGAGGCACACAGTCAGATGGCAAAGGGTGTTGGTGTGTAATTCTATCACAGGTACAGGGAGAAGCTGGGCACAGTAATCCCATCTACCACACGGGCCATGTTAAGAATTGTGCTTTTTATTCTAACACCAACTGAAAACCTTTGCATCTTTCTTTCTCCCTTCCCTCCCACTTTCCCTCTCTTTCTCACTTTTTCCTTTCTATTTTAAATTACCCAACTAACAGAGTCCATTTCCATTGTAAATTATTCAAGCTGTACGATAAAGCCAGAGTCCCTTTGTTACTCCTAGTGGCTCCCAGTCCAAGTTCCCTTCCCAAACATGACCACTGTTTTCTTGGATGCTTTTTCTCTCTCTTTTTTTTTTTTTTTAAAAAAATGCATTTCCATACACATATACAGACACAGAAACCTAGGATTTTTGTGAATGGGTTTTAATATGAACAATATCATATTGAATGTATTATTTTGTAGCTGCCTTGAAATTTAATATTTTTTTTAAACAAATAACTTTTGAGCTCCAAGCCAGTACCTAGGAAAGTCGAGGCAAAACGTTTTTAATGCTCAGGGTCTCCAAAAATCTCCCTTTGACCATGGTTAGAAGGTGCCAGCGTGGTCCCAAATAACAAGCCCTGGATAACCACATGAATATTTCCAGTCCTGCCTGCTGCTCCAGAACCTTGATATGCCCCGATCAAGAGGTAGGTCCATGTCCGCTCCCCTTGAACCTGGGTGGGTCTTTGTGGCTGCCTTGACCGAAAGAGAAGTGGCAGTATATGACCCCTGAGACTGAGCCATAAAAGGGTGATTCGGCTTCCACCGGTCTCTCCCTCTGAATGCTTACCCTCGGGACCTGGCCGCCATGCTGTGAGGAAGCCCTGGCTACACGCAGAGGAACCATGGACCCTGGTCCTCAGCTTGGGCTGAGCTCCAAGCGAAATGTCTGTCCTAGAGTGTCAGCTGTGTGAACCAGTCGTGTGGAAGGTGACTCCTCCGGGACCCCAGTGAACCGCCCCAGATGATGCCATGTGGTACAGGGAGGAGTCCTCCCCACTGAGACCTGCCCAGAGCACAGATGCATGAACCAAAAGAACGATCGCCATTTTTAACCCTCTAAGTATAGGGGTGGCTCATCATGTAGCAAGCGATGCCC